GCACTGGCATAACCCCCAAGCCCAATGACAGATTGAATAACACGTGTCCTGCTCAGTGTAAAATGTTCACAACACAGGACAAGGTGACCAAGACCAGAAAAGCTGTCTCAGTGTTCACTGGCACTCGTCTGCTATAAGCATTCAGATTCTCTTCCTAGGGCTGTATCATTTAAAACATGACAAGATAGAGAAAAAACACAGAAATGTCACAGATAAAACTTCACGAACTCTCCATTTTAAAAAAAGTACCGTATTTGCCGGCGTATAAGACGACTGGGTGTATAAGACGACCCCCTAACATTTCCACTCAAAATACAGAGTTTGTTATATACTCGCCGTATAAGACTACCCCCTCTTCCGCACACCTTCCACACACCAAATAAAAGGTAAAACAATATCAGATTTGATTTCAACATTTTAATTTATATTCAAATGCTTATGACATGCAGGAAAACTGTCACAAGGCTGTATGTAATCAAACATATACATAAAACAGTGCAAGTTGGCTGTATACAAAGCCTGATTTGATTGGTCCCTGCTCCCTGTTTGCCCGCCCTGTCACTATAGCAGTCTGGTCCACCCTTGCATCAGCATCTCCCTGGGACCTCACTAGTGCGCAAGTGCGAGCTCTTCAACATTCTAACAGGCACCATGATAGCGCAAAATCACGAAATCTTCAATGCATATGTAAAGAAATATACGGTAACCCGAATTTACCACACTCGCAAAATCGCACACAGCCGACCATACACCCAGTATGGTATTGTGATTCGCGATTTTGCGCTATCATACTGGGTGTATGGTCGGCTGTGTGCGATTTTGCGAGTGTGGTAAAATCGCATAACAGCAAAATCGCATAACAGCCGAGCATACACCCAGCAGCGCTGCTGATGCCTGAACGGTATGTGGAATGAAGTTGGCGGGCTTCGGGAGGCCACTATGGCACGGGGCAAGCACTATGGGCAGTCTATCTGAAGTGTTCCTGGCGTATAAGACGACCCCCCACTTGGAGGCATATTTTTCAGGGCCAAAAAATCGTCTTATACGCCGGCAAATACGGTAAGAATTTAGAGGAGTTGAATGTCAGGCGCAATATAAAATAATTCATTGTCTCATCCCTTTTATGTGCCTTCAGAGTACCTGTGCAGCTGACAGCATCCCTGGCTGCTGAAATGTCTCAGGAGGAACTGATGCAGTGGACACGCGGTACAGCTGTTGTCAGGCGAGTCCTATAGATGGAGCATGTAAAAAAACCTACCCCAAAAACACCGAGAGTCTACATTGTGATTGAAGGAAAGTTGTCAAATTCTGCAGCTTTCTTCCAAATGTCCTCGCAGAGCTAAAGCTACTGTTAGCATTAAAAAGAAGTCCACGTTTATGTGCGAGGCTTAAAAATACTCGTGCACCTCACTTAAGGCTCTCACCTTTCAAGGAGAGCGAATGAGGCCCACAACAGGGCTGGACCACTGTCTGGCTCTTCAGTGTCACCCATGTATTCTTTGCTGGCCATTGGAACTGCTGGGTGGCTTCCCAAACAGTCCCATCCTCTCATGACTTCAGCTGCACTGTACTGACATCTCCATTCCAGAAAATCAGCTGTGGCTTTCCCTCTTTGCATTGAAATAGCCCAAACTTTTGCTTCCCACTGCTCAGTTTGTAATTTGGCCTCGATGTATTCCTTTTCACCACATCTCCTCTCCACAAAGTAACCGTCCATGGAGCTCGAGCAACCAGACTTTAAAATAAGAATGTTCAACTTGAAATTGACCCACCCACCCAACTGCAAAATGATTTTCCTGCGTTAGACTCATTAATGAACTTCTAACAACTTCATCGAGTATCTTTTTCTTCACTACCTCTCCTGCTGGTCTTGAGACTGGGCTACAAAGTACTAAAACTAAATGTAAAGTTCTTCCTTTATAAAGCTTATCAGCCTCACCTCCCTTACACAGCCCCATACACCCACCCACCCACCCACACTTCCATGCTGAAGCAGCATGGAGGCTGCTCTGTTCCATTAACTCAACACGTTACGTGGCTTCTGTCTGACGAAGCTACTGGGGGCTGAATTTAAAATTCTCTACTGACAAGGAAACCAAGAAGCAACTATGGCACTGTCAAGTCATGTTCTCTTCCAACCTTACTGAATCAATTCAAATGCATGTGTTCACAGTATAAACATTTTACAAATACTTGACATAATAATAGGAACGATTATGTTGTTAGGACTTTCATTTTTAAGGCAGTATTTTCATCTCTACGATCATTCTCACCTCTTCAATCCTGTGACAGACAAGAATCTGATTTCAGGGGGGCAATGAAAAAATTCTTGACTTCAGGAAGCCTCACGTTAATAGCAAGGAACTTTAACAGCCAAAAACAATGTGGCTGCAGGCTAGGACTGCTCTATTGAACACAGACGTTTAGGTCACTGCAGGGTGAGGGTCTCTTCACACGCAGGCTGAGGTCACCAAGCAAGGACACGTTTAATGGACATGCATGAGCATCAAGAATCGCTCTTCCCATCAAGATGCCTTTTTTTCTTACAACAACATAATCCCCCTCAGCACATGCATTCCTAAAAAGGGAGACAATCTATATGTGTTCATAAATACAATTCTGAAAAATAGTATCACAATAAAATAAGAGCATATGCTGAATCTGTTTTCCTATTGGGAAAAGAAACTCCTTCGACAGTGAAAAAAAAAGAAACAAAACCAAAAAAACAGAAAACGTTTAACAAAATTAGAATGATAAAGAAAACTTGTATTATAATAAAACTATTGGTTTGCACAAAACAACAAAACTTAAAGGGTTGTTCTTACTTGGTAAGACAGTACACATAACGCAGAGTTATCATTATTATTCTCCACTGAATTGGGCACACTGTAAGGCACTTTCATATAGTTAACCCATCAAAAGACCTTGCCCTCCTAACTATACTGACAAGGAAACACGCTCTCAAAGGTTAGCAACTGCCCAGGTCCTGGCAGTTGGGGTTACTGGGCTCGTGACTATGTTGTCTCCCTCCAAAGTTCGTCATCTTTCTGTTCTACACTGACCCTCAAAGCAGCTTTTTTATATCCCTCAACTTTTCGATCTTAACTTGAAAGATAATTTCTTTACATATTTTTCCACCTCAGTTCAACAACGGTGTATTATGTGCTAGCACCATAATCACGGGGACTCAGGGGGACTCCAGATAGCATGGCCTGGGTCCCAGAGTCCACTCAGGTTTGGCTCCATCTGTCCATGTGTACTGGTTAGTTGCAGGCCTCACTCAGCCCCCACCCCCTTCCCCAGCACACCGAGATACAGTAAGAACTGCAGGAGGCTGCGATGACGGGAGTCCTTCAATCTCCTGGCGGCTCACAATGCAGGGGCTCCCTCTTAGCCCCCGAATTCACCAGACTCGCCCACCTGGCAACTGTGGGTCATGCAAAGCTTTACATAAGCCTTTTCCCTCTGCCTTGTTCAATAGGTAACCAATTATTATTAAAACATTTTAAAAATACCATAAATAGATCAAGTAAAAGAAATTAACTAATAAAAGAAATAACACTTTTCTTCAGTGAAACCACTCGGTTACATCATGACCAGAGCACACACGCCTCCTCATGAGACAATAAGGCTTCTCGGAAAGGGTCTAGGCTTTCTGGATTCCCGTTGTTTTGTGTCAGCCCTTGAGAGAAAAAGTGTTTGCCAAGCTGTCAGTCTCCTGGTCAAAATAAATACACTCTAAACTTACACTCTTCAAACAAGCATGTTATGTATCTTTCAGCAATTCTTCTGTAAAATGTTTAAGAACATCTTTAACCCACAAATGGAAACCAAAGGTAGCTGTGTTTCTAAATAGGAGACTGACGTGCTGTTTAATCCACCCGGCTTAGAAAAGAGAGCACACAAACTGAGGAGGGGAACCAAGTACAACGGAACCGTGTTACATGAAACCTGACTGTGTCAGGATTTGTGACCATCTCTCAAAGGGGTTTCAATAAAGCTTAACTACTGAAAATTTCCTGTATTTCCATGCTTAGAACATAATTTTTCCCCCGGAGAAATTCAAATCTCACGTATGATGCCTTTAAGCTTCCCTTCTTCCACTACCTACATTTTTTCCAATGAACACGTATCTGCCTGACCTGGCTCCCGTCCTCATGAAACCACGCCAGTGCCTGTCCACATGCACATGGCCACTCCCGAGCTCGCTGCCCTCTGAAGCCCTCTGAAGGGGCATGGAAAACTCACATGCATGTGGCCAGACTCCCACCACACAACTCAGTAAAGATTCAACAGGAAATTCTAACAGGTATCTATATTCTTTTTACTCTTACAATCTTCGCAAACGATCCACATTTTGATTCATAAAGAGAAAAATTAGTTCCACAATTTAGTAACTACTTTGTAGGAAAAGAATCCATTATTTCCCATGATTAATGCAGTTATTCCCAGTAGCTATTACAAACAACAGCTGTGTTGACAAGACTTTCAGTACGTTTTCCAAATTAAATGTAAAATTTGGAAAAAATACATTTGAAACTGAAAATCTGTACCCAAAACATCTTCGGTACTATTATTGGTCTTAACATTAATGTAAATTAAATTCTACCAAGATATACTATTAAACCGTAACACCAAAAAAATTAAAGAGCACAGTCTAATCAAAATAAACATGGTTACAATTATTTAAACCACATTTATTCACACAATTCTCAGATAGTCCAAAATGTAAAAAAAATATATCAAAAAATATAGTTATACATAATTATAGCCATACCATAAAGTTAGCAGCACCCTTCAAACATTAAAATGGACTTTCAACATAATTGTTACTATAAATGTTTTATTCCATTTCCTACATTCAGGTACTAAATTAATCTCAAAATTAAAATCTTGAGACTGATAAATTTAACCTACTCAAGTGCTTTTAACTCACTTAAAGTCATTCCCTGCTCTGAGAGCCCGCAGCAGGGCTCACTGTGATTGCAGACACCACTCACCACTTCCTCCAGCGCAGCACTCCGCCCGAAGGAACAGGTGAGGTGTGTCAGGCAGTTCACGAAGGACGAGAACAGCTCGCTCGGAATGGCGGTTAAGACGTTTCGAGGGAACACTGTTATCAGGTTGCTGATAATGCTGGAGATCCCCACAGCCTCAGAATCTTCTATTTCAATTCTAAAAATCAGGTAACAAGTGTTACGAGGAGGTAGTGGAAGACAAGTTACAATGACTCATCTCCAAACACACAAAATGACAACCTATTCATTCATTTTCAAAGGCATGTCTCTGCCTTAGTTTCAAGTTACCCACATAACTACACTTCAAAATACAGGGAAGGAGAGTAGCACCACTCGCTGCTTTCCCTCCAGTTAAACATCAAGGAAAACCTGGACGTGCCCTCTCCAGTGCCTACCCGTTGATGGTGCTCAGGAGCCCCTCGATGAAATGTGCCAGGTATTCAACCTGCGCCCCCTCGTCGGGGAAGATGGGCCCGTGCAGACAGGCCAGCTGGGCGAGGCACTGCAGTGAGTCCTGGGCCATGTCTGAATCTTCTCTGATTTTTCGGTGTACCTGTGAGAAAGAATCACTAATCTATAAAAATAAATTCTCCTTTTGTAAGGGTCACGTGTCTATCATGCCGAATGAGGTAAGAGGAAAAATTCACCGGTTGTTTCTAGAAAATTAATTCCTGGATTAAACTAAATTTGAAAACTGTCCCTCAGTCCATTTTACATTGTAGGACATGATTTTAAACATATCAATTGATTTTTTTACTGAGAGCTACCTACATTTTGAAAACTGAACTGTCTCCAGCATGTTATGACAAAGAGAGAAACAGATGCCAGCCAGTCAGACATACTGCCTCTTCTAAAAACAGCAACGATGACAGTCATCCGCACTATGCTAGCTATGCCTTGCTGCAGCTCCCAGCTAAAGTTAGCAGGCGAGTCCCGCAGGAGTGTGCAGATGCAGCCTTGCTGGAAGTCAACAGTTGCACACAGAGAAAATCAGTAAGGGCTCAGTCCCTACACACTCCCCCACCAACTGGCACAGGTACCTCTCTCGGCAACTCTGAGACTGTCTACAGTTTGTCTGAGTCTCAATGCATTCCACATTGGTAGTAATCAATGCTGACACTTGTAAAATAAAAGCTGTACTTAAATCTACTTTAAACCACATCTAGATTTTACTTCACTGATGCACTAGATGCACTACTGATGCGAAACACCTGTGTGAGTGTTCTGTATGAAGAAAGTACTCCTAAAATACTGCCCCTAGCTTTACAGTGTCACTAATGTGCTCAGGTTTTAAAGATTTCATTTCTGTGATTTGACATAATGAAAACAGCCAGGGAAAACAGTAAAGAAATTATAGCTAATTGTTTATCTTAATTAAATAATTCTACAGCATTTACTGTGGCCATTTTTTTTTTTTTTTTTTTTTTTTTGTAGCTGAGCCATCCTGCTACCTGTTGGTAGTTCAGCCACAGCTCAGTTCAGGCCGGGCATCAAACCGCTGCTGCTCAGAGCTCACACTCTTGAGCAAGCGAGCTCATAACCAACTGAGCCACTCGGCCGGCCCGACTGTGGCCATTTTCTACTTCCACGAGCATTTGATTTCTTCAGCTCTTCTTTTCCTACACAAATCTCTCTGTTTTCTGAATGTCACACAATTTTAAACATTTATTCTCTATTTGTTTCAGGTCATGTTCACTTTGACTCTGCAGACCATTTATAAATTACTTGATGATAGAACGTTTCTCTTAGGTCTTCACTGCTACAGTGCTGGGACACAGTGAACAGACACTCATAAATCCTGTTCACCAACTGATTCCATTCATCATTGATCCCTTAACTTCTTAAGGTTCAGAGAAACTTAAAATACTAAAAAGTCACAAAGTTAACTGATCTACTGGCATGCTTAAAATATGGTACCCTCTTTGTTCTAGAACGGATTGGCAAACCACGGGCCACACTGGCCTCTCGCCTGTTTTCTATGGCCTGTAGAATGGTTTTTACATTTTTATATGGCTTATAAAAAAAATCAAAAACTGTTTCAAGCCACATGACAAGTACATAAAATCTGCATTTTTACAGTAGTTGATCAAGTCTGACTGGGACACAGCCGACTGAGTGTCTGGTTGTACACGGCAGAGCTAAGCAGGGCCTCGGAGAACACATGACTGCACTCCCTAATGTTTGCTACCTGGCCTTTAAAGGGAAAGCTTGCCAATCCCTGGTCTAAAACACAAATGGTTTTCAAAATACATTCTACTATATTTTAAGTCAGATGTAGTAAATTTAAAGTACAATATGCAAATTCCCATGTCCACACTGTCTAATCCATGAAATGCTGAACACAGCTCATTCTGAAGTTCCTTATCTAAAAACTAGGACTAAATTTGTCATTGTGCTCTTTAATGTACATTTAAGCATGCCGCCCATGGATGCATTCTACCAATGGATGAGATGCAATCTGGGACAACAGACGGTGTCTTCTCTTCCCACCAAGACATGTGGTTGCTTGTTTCTGGTCCAGAAGTAATAAATCAAAAGAATGAATTCTTTCAATGAAATAACTAACATTGATTATGTAATAAAATAAAAATAAGAAACTGTCCTCAGAGCCTGCCTGTACTGTTCAAATTTAATTTGTCTCTGAAATATGAGCCACATAAAATTCATGATAAATCAGTGATTAATTCTTATGATATAGTAGATTCTTGCCCTTTGTAATGTCAGCATTACAAAGGAGTTCACCCATATCTGAACTGTACCATACAAATTAAAACCTGAACTGATCACCTGAACAAGGAAAGCAGAGAGGTGGGCAAAAGCCAAGTCTGATGGACACCTGGGGAGATGGGTAGTGAGGCAGGATGAAGATAAAGACATGGGTAGAGAAAAGCAGGGAGGTGATGGTTCTGGGGGACATGCTAAATCAGAGATGTCTGTGGGCCTCCCAAATGAAACCCTCCAGTAAGCACTGGGATTACAGGCTCTGGGCTCTGAGCGGTCTGTGCTGAATATAGACCTAGGAGTCATCGGTGGAGAGCGGTGCCCAAGCTCCTACGTGTGGGAGACAGCCCACAGAAAGTGCACGCAGTCAGCAAAGTTGAGAACTGACATAGGAAGACAACTATTTATACAAACAGTGGAGAAACAAGGGACCATAAAGGAGAGGAAGGACAATCTGTCAACAGGTAGAAGAAAACACTAATGAGGCTGGTTTTTCCGATACCTTATGGAAGAGAGAGAAACTGAGAGGTCTGTGAACATGAGGGGCAGAATGCAGCCTGAAGCATTCCTTAGTTCAGTGTGTCAGCGTATCTCAAGCCCTCAGTCCATGCAGTGCTGTACTTATGCTTATCTACTCAAATCTGGAGAAATAGTGACAGCACGTGGAAAACTGCTTTACATTAGGTAATAAATTCATATAATTGCAAATAAACTTAACAAAAATGGAATGAAATAAGGTTAGCCACTGGCTCTGTTGTTAACAAACTTAAAATTGTTTATAAACTGCTTCAGCAAGTCACAGGCCACAAACACAAAACTGTTAAAATAACAAAGTAAAAGGGGTTAACTTTCAAATTCAGAGCTATTTGCATGTGGCGGTCCCAGCTGACAGACGCAGCTGCCCCGTTCGTTCGTCTGGACAGCTGTCTCCAGCACCGCCGGCTCACTCCCCACCTTCTCACACACTCCTGAAGCGGGGTCTGCTTTCACTCAGTGAGTAGCACAGACACCTGAACTTGGACACATAGCAAAACAATGTCTGCCAGATGAGGCAGAACAAAATTGTTCAATTTCATTGCAATTATCTCTTTGATACTGAAAGTGTGTTTAGTCACCATTTCTCTGATTTGAACAAGAAAATGAAGGTAATGCTCCATCTGGACGCTTCCACAGAAAGCCCTTTTATGTACGGTACACACCCGTGCGTGAATAACCTGTTCCAGGTACCAAGAACAGAAGTTCTCAAAGTGCGGTCTGGGGGGGTCCCTAGAGATTCCTAGGGCCCAGCCAGGCTGTCTCTAAGGGCAAAACTTTTCCTGATAACATTAAGATAGCATTTGCCTTCTAACTTCTGACTTTCACACCTGTGTGCAGAGGTGCCCCGAGGCTACGGGGTGTGTATATGTGTATACTGCAGCTGGCTGGATGCAGAAACACACATGAGGTCAGCTGCCTGCTATGAGGCCTGACATTAGACATCCGCAAAAGAGGACAACAATGCCATTCTCCTCACTAAACTCCTTTCTCTGTTTTCAAAAATATAGCTATTTGTTCATTAAAATATTAGTTATGTTAATATGTCATAATTTGGTACTGCTATTTTTAAAAGAATAAATAAGTTTTTTAGGTTCTCAGTTTGAATTTTTAATATGGTAAATATTAACAGCCATAACCTCCATAAACAAAAGCTCTTGGGGTCTTCAACAATTTTTAAGACTGTAAAGGGGTCTTGAGAACACAAAGTTGGAGAACTTCAGCTCTAGGATATTAAACCCTTCATAACTTTATGACTATTTTATAAACTACCCAAGAACATTTCTATATAATTTCTGTTTTAGCAGAAACATTAATCAGAGAAGGCTTTAGAGGCGACAGGCCACCTGCCCACTTTTACTAAGAAAACCACCCCTCCCCGGAACCCCCCCTGCCCCCCCCAAAGCATGCACCGCTTCCCAGCCTCCCAGACCCTCCCCCGGGGGGGGGGAGGCAACACTCACTGTGAAGAAAAGCTCCATGACCCTCCTGTCCAGCAGCGTCTCCCGCCAGGACTCCGTCGGCTTCAACAGCACATTTTGTGAGGATTCAAACATGGCTATATAATGTCTGCCCAGTGATCTGGTGTCAAGGTCAACAACAATAACATTCTTACTTTGTCTAAAGTGTAAGTATACCCTAAATATAACAGGAGCCATCCAGAAAGAATGGAATGGAAACAGTTTAAGCCTCTTCACATATGCTACATAATTCATGCATGAAGTGAAGGAATAAAAGGCATTAAGTGCTGAAAAAAAGAATGCTACAGGAATGTAAGATAACAGTTTCATCACAATGATATGGCATGCTGCAGGACTCTAGAAACCTGGGTGATCAGAGAGCTTAACGCTGGCAACAGAAGGAAAAACACTAATGCAAAACAGATGCCAAAACACACATGCGTACCAAAAAGGAAAAATCAAATTCTGCATGTGTATCCCATCATTTCTCCCCTATATAACAGCTAAAACCACATATACAAAACGTGAGTCTCCTATAGTCTTAATTGGAAAATAGCATTTTCCCCAAAGAAATATATTCAAGAGCAAATATGCATCACACTAAAGAAGAAAAACTCCCACAAAGAAGTCACCAAATACCAATTCCATGCAAAGAAATAATCGGCTTACATAAAACTCTACAGGAACTCATTTAAAATTCCTGCACACTCAAAGTCCACTTCCATGGTGCTCAGGCGTTCCACAGCAAACACTCTTCTAATAGAGTCCTGTACCCGTCACGTTTGCTGGTGGTTAAGAGCACAAATCACACAGCAACACAGACGTACTACTGGGGTCTTTATGAACTGGGGAAGCTCTGGGGCATCAAGACAGGAACTGGGTCCCTCCAGGCGGTCACCGAAGGCCCAGCAGAAACACGTCCACGCGTGAGGTTATGTCCTCCTCACTCCTAGAGAAACTGAACAGGGATCCAAAACTACAGCTTGCAAAACCTAGATATAAGTTCACAAGCTGTATTTCCAATGAAGCCCAAATCATTAACAGAAAATGAAAGGCTGTGACATTGCTTTGGAAACCCATGTTTAAAGGTCAGTGCTTAACCCCCTTTTTAAATACCTAACGTTATTCTGTGTCTGAAGAGCAGGGAGGGGCACTGCAAGTTGTTTCAGTGGGGAAGTCGGCTCGCTGGTTTCTGACAAATCAGCCCACTTGATGGATGAATGAGAGTGAGGCTCAGATTAGGTTCACCTAGGTTTCCCTTTCCCGTTTCTGGTCTGCCCCCTCGTGGAGGTGCAGAGAAAGAGTCTACCACCAAAAGGCAGGACGGCTGGGACTTGACATAGAGCAAGCCTGAACTTAGGAAGGGAAAAGAAATCGGTGAACACTAAGCTTTGTTTTCAGTGCTCGAGAGCTCCTGAAGTGGCCTGTGTTTTCACAGGGCACCTCGGTGGTCTCAGGTCATTAGCGCCCAACCCTTGCTCACTACAGGGTGCCATGTAATAATACCCCGATTGAACACCATGCCTTTTCATGTGGTTTTGTTTTCCAACCCCAAACCTGGAAGGGATTTTCATCTGGACACATGTTTGCCTTCTCTCAAGAAAGCTCATTTTAACAAGCCTCACGAAGAGGTCATGCTGATTGTTCTTTGAAGAATTAATCTGCAACTCCGGAGATTTACCTTCTCTTTACCAGTCAGCCTAGCACGAGCACCGCCAATTCCAGTTTTTCATAATAAAAATGCACATTGACTCTAGCTCAAGTAAGATGCAACCACATAACTTGATTACAAATATTCTCTACTAAAAGAACATGTAAATATCCCAAAAACATTTTAATTAAAACTTATAAAACATAAAAACAACAAAAAGAAGAGTAGAATAATGAATAGAACAGACTAAGAACAGTGTTATTCCAATAAGACGTGTCTAGTGAGCAGGTTACACAGCGAAGCTGCTGAAGCTGCCTTTGAACAGGAGACTAAGAGGATGCTTCCGTTACCTGAAACACTTTCGTTATGAATGTGCATGTATTACTTTTCAACTTTAAAAACTAGTTAGAAGCATATCACACTGTAAATAGAATATTCATATACAGATCTGGAGCACAGCTGTACATTCAAAATAATGTAAAGAATTAGGGTAATTCGATATTTCTGGTGGTATTCCCTACCAATTAATTGACTATTTTTGGTGTGTGTAGGCGAGCCCAAAATACCCCACCCACCCACCCAGGTAATTCTTAATGTATAATACTTTAAAAACAAAACAAAAAGATTACCACAACAACTCAGGAATCTTAACACTTCTATTTCTAAGACAATATTTTTAAAAATGAGTTTGAATAAAGCAGCCGTTTCTTTTAAAAACAACAATTTTAAATAAAACAATAAGTTTCCTTTCCAAAGCTTTCAAAAGTTTATTACTTTCACATGTCATAATACCTGGACGTTGTAGTTTTATCTTTTTATCCAAATATGTCACCAATAAGAAGTCTAAAGTGAAGCAATTATTTACTAATTAATCGTTTATTGTACGTATTATATATGCTTGTCAGATTTTAGGACACATATTGAGTCACAACACATCAATACTAGTTAAATAGCTGTCACTTATCAAAATTCAAATCAGATTTTAAGCCAAGAATTTTCTTGGGCCATGGCTTTACATTTTTCTAAAATGAATACTGAACTATTCATTTTAGATAATAATTTACATATTTAGGTAAATTTAGGTAATTTACATATTGTATCAGAATAATTCACTTGCAACCAAATAAAACAAACGTCAACCAATAAGACAGCTGTACAGAGCTGCTGTTGGTCTTTTAATAATCCTATGTCTGTTTAAAAATTTGTCACCCACATCTAATCTTACTTCACCTTCCCACGTTTGCATTAAATTCAAGAACAGTCTTTGTACCAAAGACAAGCCACAGTGATCCCATCAGGCTCTAACATTTTCCGTTTAGGAAAGCTCACCAACTTCTGAGAAATCAAAGGCACACAGATGCACCAGCTGCCCTGGCCTAGAGCCAAACGAACGAACACACACACACACACACACACACACACACACACACACACACACACACGCCCCCCAGGCTGAGAGCCTGGAGCTGAATGAACACCCCCCACCCCCAAAAGAACACACACATACCAGGCTGATACACACACACGCTGAGAGCTTGGAGCCAAACGAACGCACGCACGCACACATACACACCCCCACCCCCCCAAATGAACACACACAGCCCAGGCTGACTGACTCTCTCTCTCTCTCTCTCTCTCTCTCTCTCTCTCTCTCTCTCTCTCTCTTAGCCAGGAGGGCAAAGCTCAGTTACTGACTGCACCGGCTGAGCCACACCAAGTCTTCTGCTTCAACAAGTTGAGGTCTAGAACACAAACTGTAGTATCACAAGTACACACCTCTTAGCACGAGGGGAAATGTCATCTTTTGTAGTACATGTGTTCTTACATATGCAACGAGCTCCTGTTCCTCCACTAACACCTTCATTCAAGGTACCACTCTGTGCTGGTGACAGACAGTAAAAAGACAAAGAAATGAGTCACACGATAGCTACAAATTATCCTCAGGCAAATACGGAGAGTGAAATTTTCCATCGCCTCTCCTTATAGGAAGTACTTTACAATATAGGCTTGTAGCCACAATGGGCATTTTGTACAAGTAATAAATAATTCCTTCCATCTTCCCATGTCTTTTTAATGCCACCTCATTAGTAAACACAAAGTTTCAGAACCAAGGGAAGCTGTTTTTCTTCTTAACAACAAAAACCGCTATTTCTCTTCCGGCATAACACAAATGTCGTGAGCACAGCCTTATAGACAGCACTTAGTCCGAGTAACCACAAGTCTGTGAAATAAAGGAGAGCTGCCCTTACCTGGATGTTTTCCCAAGCCTTACCTCCAAACAGTAATGCTGGCTTTACTGGAAATCTTAATTTAGGTGAAGGCTAATTACTATTTTATGATCCAGTTAGCTTTCCCCAAGAGATTGAGTTAAATTTTTTTTTTTTTTTTTTACCAAAACCAAATCAGATACACAAAAAAAGAATACCAATGAAGGGCAGTGTAACCCAACTAAAGAAAGAAGCATTACAAAGGCGCACACTAAACGCACCTGGCACGCATTCTGATTACAAAACGACTGTCTATGATCAGCTCTGCCAAACCCTTAGGCATTTACGGACGCCAGGTGAACTATGAATAAACAGTATCAGCAGCACAAACAAATGTCTAAGACCTGAAGTAATACTTGCAAGCCTCCTTACCGCAATAGTTAAATAATGCATATTTGTTAAGCCCCTTGACGACACGCCAGACAGTGCAGGTGCTAACACCACAGTGAACAAAAGTGTGGCCCATGCCTTCGTGAGCTTCCAAACTAGTAGGTGAACAGGTATTACTCACGTGAGCTAAAAATGAAAATCTACCACAGAGAAGTGAGCCAAGTGGGAGTAAGTTGTATGAAATACGCATGAGAGGCCGCGAGAAAAGAAACCAGACTTGTCCAGGGTACCAGTGAGGCTCAGTAAGGAGGTGACTGGCAGAGACAGTCCAGGAGCCAAGGCACCCGGGCACAGGAACCTGGGCTGCCAGTGTTCTTCTAACAAGAAGAGCATGGAAGACAGTTCTGAGAGGGAGGGAGAGGTCAGACCACCCAGGATCTCAGACCCGTTTTTAAATGGGGATGCCAGACAACAGAGACCGTAGGACCAGGACACTGTCTTAGGATAGAAGTGATGTAAAACAGAATGAACAGCGGGTGGACTGTGAGACTGGGCACTGTGGCTGAGGACTCACCTCACTGGGCCCAGTTGATTTTGGATATGCCCTAAATCCTAGGAGCTGCAGACTGCACCACCAAGGACTGGAGGGGAGGGCACTTCCATAAATCACCTTCTGCACATGTAAAACCTACATATAATAATCCTCAACAAAAAGGTTTACAGATGGTATCATGTATGCAGAAATACTTTTAAATCCACTAAAAATACTATTTGAGCTAATAAACAAGTTCGGCAAGGTGACACAGTACAAGATCCACCTTCAACCATTTTTATTTCTATACTATAGTAATGAATAATATGAAAATAA